GGGCAAGTGAAGGGGCTCACTTTGCTCCTATCGTCTCTCACGGCCGCTGCTGGTATCCCAAAAATTACGGGCCATCACTAGCAGCTTTTACCAGCTTGAGATCACCATGGAGAGCAACATCATGGCCGTTATCGAGTTTACCAACCGCTGTATTGCCTTGTACGTTGCAGTGTCCGGGAGAGTTACAGAAGCATACTGGGACTTGAGGCCGGCAGGGGAGGGAATGTTTTTGCTTTCCTCTGATCCTTTCTCACGACCGCCGCGGTCCTCGTAAAAATCATCTCTGATCACGAGCAGCTTGTACATATCGCCGAGAGAATCGTCCTTGCCGTAGAAGTCTTCTCCGCCGCTGTATCGCTCTCAAAGTCGATGTCCGCTTGCTCCATCAATCAAGCGCCGTTCGGTATTCACCTAGCAGCTTCCAAGGGACGTTAAAGACTGGCGACAGGAGCGATCGTAAGGTATCGTCTGCCATCTCGCAGCTTTCCTTCCTTCCTGCCTCCCTGTGGTCCCAACGATCCTTTTTGGTTCCAAGAGGTTGTCTCATTATCCCTTGTCAACTGAGCGAATTGTTGATTACCGTCGATTTGTAGTCAGTTGTAGGGATAGTGCCGGCGCTGGCAGTCGTAAAGCAGGAAAAAACGCGTCTTCCCTTTACATTACATGAACGATCTGAGTATCAAGCACAGACGCGTGGCACCAAAGTGGAACTAGCGTCCGCTACCTGCATGAACATGCACAGCTGGATGCAATTTATAGCCCAGATCCCAGCCAGCGCACGAACGAAGCGTCGGACAGCATAGAGCAAAGCGAGCGCCACATCTTCGCAGCAAGGAGATGAATCTTCCAGGTCAAACGAGAGTGTTTGAGGCTATATAGAGCTTTTAGGACCTTTCTGTAGTAGTGGATAGACCATCCCTGTCAACGCTAAGGATATGATCTGCACTACGGGAAGTACGATAAGTGGGTCGCTGGCAGGATACACTGCTTCTTTCGGCGCTTGGAAGCTGGCGGGGAAGGGCAACTTGGAGAGTCTGGTCAAATGTTGAGCAATCTGTCGGTTTTTCTACCAAGCTTGGACCCTCCTTTTGGCGGTCCACGTTGGAGGCGCCAGAACTGCTGCCGGAAGGTTGAGATACACAAACTTCTCCTGAACCAGAACATTCTTGCACATACAGTTTGCCAACCTCGCTAACCAATTAAGCCACCGAGTAGGTTCATGTTCTGGGACTGTTGGGATTTCCGATCGAAGAAGGAGGAGCATAGGCATTGCTGGACTGGAGCACGATCGATGCCGCTGGAGCTTGAGCAAGAAACGATGTCTCGAACAACACCAAGGAGACTCTTGCACCGAGCATGCGAATGGCTTCGGGAGACTGCGCAGCGAGAAAGGATATCCCGATGAACTGTACGAGACATCTGTCTCTTGGCCATCCCCGAGCCACGGTCTTTTAACAATGCCCAGCAGTACTGCGTGGAAGCTGCAAGTTGCATTGCCTCGGAACTTGTCAGCAGGGACGCCTCTGAAAGTCTGATCTTCTCCGTCAGGCTGCATGCACGCCGGTAAACGTGCCCCTGATTCCAAGGCGCAAGCACTCGAAGCACATTTCTCTGCAGGAACCTCTGAGCTAAGAATGATTTCTTTCAAGAGGAGGCAGTAGGAAGTTCTCGAGCTGCTTCTCTATCCCGTTCACCTCTTCGAGTAGAGCCCAGTCTGGACGCTTCTCCTACACTCACAAACATCTGCAGCAACGCCTCGATTAGGTTCAAAGCTACGCATGTAGCGCTACTGGATATGGGCGAAGCACAGGAAAGGTTGAGCGCTTTCGAAAAGTGGACATGGATACCTCGAGGTCGGTCCCTGCTCTACTGTGGACGAAAAATGCCTTGTTGGGTTTCTGCGTATCTGCCAAACCTTCGTTACGGACCTACCGGGGAGGACGAGAGTACTACCTCAGTAAGATACCTCGCTCGAGGCGAAGTATCTAGAAGATGCCTCTGAGGCGATAGCCCCTCGCGAAGGCCCCTCGCGGAAAATTCCATCAGACGGCGGACATACTCCATAGCTTCTGGCTCCGGCACTGAGGTCTTTGCCTTGTAGGACTGGGCGATAATTCAAAGGAGATCTACTGGTKATGGCAAAGTGAAAGCATGACAGGTCGTGGTAATAGTATGCCTTCAAGTTAGAGCTTGTCATTGACGTGGTCTTTCTCCAGATGACGTCCGCAACTCTGTCTCTAGCACACATTTCAGCAGCAGAACAGGCTTACCAAGTGGGTTTGAAGGAAAAAGGCACTCGGAGACTATATATAGGAGCGGGCGAGGTACAGCATCGACATCAGGAAGACGTAAGGGTTCCCATAATACAAAATAGTGCAAGAAGTCCGGGATACCAACGCAGCGCCCGCCGCCCGCGAGCGTACACTTCTTCTCCTTGCCTGAAGTGTCGAGGGTATCCTGCAGACAGTGTCTCTTGAATGATCTCTGATTTTTCTGGCTCTCCGGATGTTTATCGAGCTTCGACAAGGTTCTAACAGACTCGCAGTCTTGCGTGGAATGGCATGGTTACCTTCTGCTCACCGACAATGCTTTTATCACCGCAAGAGCAGGAGAAATCCATGCGCCTGCGCCGAGATCTGTACCAGTACCGAAAACATGCGGGTATCGCAGCGTCGGGCTGTTTCCCTAAGCTGTGATAGCCTCAGCAGACCTCTACGAACATGAAGGCACTCCAAGGTAGCGTGAGTTGCTCACCTACCCGCACTCAAGGGAGTTGGCCATTGTCTTACACCCCCTTCCAACGATAGTGTGAAAGAAGTTCATGCTACCCGTCCATCTCGAGTTGCAAGCTTATATGAGAGTGGAATGTGCTTGGAAGAGGATAAACGAATTCTACCAATGCAGATCATCTGCGTGCATCCGCCTCGGGACCTTTTGCCAAAACCCAGCGATGTCGAACCCCGCTGGCGAATATGGCTGACACTTCTCAGAGGCCTTGTAAAACCAGCAACTCAGCTGCCAAGTCCATACGGATACAAAGAAGGCTGCCCGGAGGAATGCTGAAATTCCAAACTCTTGCCGTCTTGCATCCATGGGAACATCCATCCACAGAGCTCAAACATTCTGGTTCCATGGCTAGTAGACAGCAACGGGTATCCATGAGAGTAGCTTGAATCGGGTGTAAACAGCACCTCCGTCAAGAACCCGCGTTGACAGGCGGCTCATACCAGAAAGACCTTGCGTCGACCGGCTTGTTGCACATTACTACGTACCACGAGCGTCGCAAGGCCACGACGATCTCTAGGTTGTACTCCGCCGAAGGATCGCTACAGCGAGGACCTTTCCAAGCTCCCCAGATCAGGAGTTGCATCGAAGAAGTCTACTTCCTCCCAAATATCAGCTTGACACTAGCCAGCTGCGCCTGAAATGTGAAGTCGCTTCCCGCCATGGCAATTGCAAGTCCACTCTTTATCGGCGAAACGAGACCACGGAGTAGTCGAAGCAGCATACATCCCTTGAGGCTATATCGCCGCGGACTGTGGAAGTGGAACAGCAGCGGCTCCCGGAGTGTACAAGGTCTCGCAGCATCAGGTACGAGGAGGATCTCCAAGGAACACGATGTGTCAACATCTTGGACTCCAGATCGAGCACATCTGATCTCTGTCTTGAAGATGTCGGGGTATCTTTCCAAGGAACCACGCTGCGCTTGAGATTTCTCAAGATACTCTGGTGTTGGACACCTCCGAGAATGTCCCCGCGAAACACGAACGTACCAAGCGTAAGACGAATGCATACCTCTCGAATTGCGCCGTGCAGTTTGCAGGAAACTCTCAGCTGGGCAGAGCGACTTCAACACAGAGAAGGAGGATCTCCAGCACGGCCAGCAACGACATCTCAAAGATTTACATTCGGCCAGCAGCAGAAACCTAAATTTCTCAAATCTGATGTGTTGATTCGACAAAGATAAGCGATGATGTTGAAGATTCACCCATTCACTCTCCAGCAACATCGCCAAGCTTTTCCCTATTCTTCCTAATCCGGTAAGATTTTGAGATCCCGCTGGCTAAGAATTCCCCTATGCGGAAAGCCTTTTTCTGTCATTGGACGACGACTCTCAGTAGGCATTGTTACTGTTCATCGGGCCCATGCTGATGCAGGGTGGAGAGTGCACGACATTCAGCCATGCTATGGAGAGGGACTCTGAACATGGTCACTATACACTACCGCTCGGTTGATAGCCTTTCTAGTCTTCGAAAGGAGACGTGCAGCTCCCAAATGACCGTGCGATGGTAATGGGTTTGTAAAGATCGCGAGGTCTATCAAGGGTTGGGAAGGAAAAAGCCAAGCAGACCWGGACCACTCGCCAGAGTTTCAGAAATAGGCGTTAGTAGGATGAGCAAAAGTCGCCAGGAGTACGCACTGTGGTATGAGCTTGAGAATCTTCTGCATGACTAGTCCCTCTCCGTCTTCTATCAAGTAGATCGTGGAAGATGAGAAAACATAGCCCGGAATGTGTGTCGAAGCCGCTTTCTCTGTTGGTGATACATGGTCTCAGTTCTGCGTGTCTGATCGCCACACTGATGTTTCGTTGCAGATGCAATGTCACTGTCTTGTTCTTGATCACGACAATCTGTGCAGGGAAGTGTTCCCCTCGCCCGCTTCCTGCAACATGCGTACCAACATATTAGAAGAGTCTGACTCTGAACTGGACAGATTCCAGCAAGGAAAAGGTGCGGCCAGGATTGACTCTGGATTTGGAGCGGTGAAATTGAAGTGTGGCAGATTTGACCCTGGCAAAGGTGTCGTGATAAAGTGCTCGCGATYTGAATTCGAAAAGAAAAGACACGCACGCCTGCGCATGAGTGTGTCTCTGGGTATCAGCACCAGAAAGTAAAAAAGGCCAGTTCGAACGAAAAAGCTCTTGTCAAATCCCTCCATCCCTTCCAAAAGGAAAACTCCACGCATACCCACAAAATAAAAGAAGAGAGAATGCCTCCTGCTCAACTGAACATGACAGCCTTCCGATCCAACGGTCTCCCATCCGCGGCAATCCCCTCTCTCCCAAACTTCCTCTCCACCCACAATCTCCGCGCCTCATCAAACCCGACTCCCCTCCTCTTCATGATAATGTAGACTTCCCTCTTGGCATCCTCGTCCAATCCTCTCCTTGAATCTTCGGCTTCAATGTTCCCCGCCAGATCAAAGTTTGAGGAGTGAAGTCCAGCTTCGGCGTCCTCGTGGAAATTTGAGGGGACGCGGGAGTAGCGGTAAGAATCGATGAAGTTGGTGAGGTTGGAGGAGAGGTTGTAGAGGAAATCGGGAATGGGGCCGGGAGCGGTGATGTAGGGGATTGGAGGAGCGTGGGGTTTCCAGATGGTGCGGGTGGCGTAGAGGGCTGGAAATGGTCGGATTAGTTGGGATATCTCCAAGAGGCATGGAGTTGGAGGTGGATACCTGTTGCGACGACGAGGAAGAAGAAGAGGAGGGTGTAGAAGAGGTAGGCCATGGCGAGGGAGTGGATTTGGATGTGCTGGTTTTTGAGGAAACGTCTTCAGAAGTAAAGAGATTGTTGGTAAGTAAGGTAAGTTGGGGCGAAGCAGCCCTCACACTCTTCTCACAACATGCGCGAGTGCTTGTCGCGTCCTGGAGAGTTGGTCGTCTTGTCAGCATCCAAGATCCATCGAAGGATCGGCGTTCGGAGTTGCGCGGTCCCGCCAGTGGAACTAGGTTCTTAACAGAGCGAGCTTCATATCACTTTACATCTTCGCATCGCATCACATCTTCGGTGACATTCCTTCAACATGTCGGGCGCACGGCATTGGTACGTTCTCTTCCTGTCCAAATCATACTCCAGTTCAGTTTGGCTAACATTCCACCGCACGCAGGGAACAAGACAAGGACAGCACGCTCTACATAGGCAACCTCGATGAGCGCTGCACCGATGCTCTGGTCTGGGAATTGATGCTCCAAGCGGGCCCCGTCATTAACGTCCACCTTCCCAAGGACCGCGTCACTCAAACCCACCAAGGCTATGGCTTCGTCGAGTTCGGTGGGGAAGAGGACGCCGACTATGCCTGCAAAATCATGAACCAGATCCGGCTGTGGGGCAAGCCAATTCGCGTCAACAAGGCATCGGCAGACAAGCGCGTCCAGGGAGAGGGAGGAGCGGGCGCGGGAGGTGTTGGGGCGGAACTCTTCATCGGAAATCTTGACGGCATGGCCGATGAAAAGGTGCTGTACGAGACCTTTTCCCGCTTTGGGCAATTGCTCTCCGTGCCAAAGGTGGCGCGGGATGATGCCAACCTCAGCAAAGGATATGGATTCGTCAGCTATTCCAACTTTGAGAGCAGTGACCAGGCCATCGAGCACATGCATGGCCAGTACTTGATGAACAAGGAGATTACGGTGCAATACGCATACAAGAAGGACGGCAAAGGCGAACGACACGGAGATGCTGCGGAACGTGCTCTCGCTGCACAGGCGAGGAAGCATGGAGTGGAAGTCGCAATTCCTGCTCTCCCTGCTGCTTTGGTCATGCCGAGTGGAACACCTTCCGGACCATCCGCAATGAACGGTTATGGCCCCCCTCCAAACGGCATGCCTCCTCAACAACAGCGTCAAACCCCTCAACCGCCGCCTGCATATGGTGGAGGCGGATATCAAGGCTACGCTCCTCCTCCCGGTCCACAAGTCCCAATGAACTTCGCGCCCCCACCACCCATGAATTTTGCCTACGCCACACCTCCAACTCCTGCAGGAGGCTTCCAGCATCTCCCTACTCCATCCTCGACGGGCACAATCCCCAACAGCGGTCTCCCGCAACACCTCCCTCCTCAACACCTCCCACCTCAGCACCAAGGACCTCGACAAATGTTCAACCATCAAGCACCTCTCGCTGCACCTCCTCCAGGCCTCCCCGCAAGACCGCCGCCTTCAAGCGCGGGATATGGTRGGCCTGTGATGCCGCCAGGTCCACCGGGAGCATTCCCTGGTCCGCCAGCGGGATTGCCACCTAGGCCCAGTGGTTTCCCTGGGAATGGGCAGCAGAATGGACGGTGACGGAAGTGATCTGAAATTCCTCTATCGAGTTGTGTTGTGGGAAAGCGTAGGCGTACCGGCGTTTGAAAAGTAAGCGGAAGGGAGGCAGGACGACTGCGATTGATACCCTTGCTTGCTGTGGTAGTAGGATTTGTATATGTAGATTGACAATCGCAATGACTTGCAATCTTCTACTTGTGTTTGGCTTCATCTCTCCAAAGCTCTTATATGCGTACGCCTACCGGCCCTCAATCTTGAGAAAGTTGAACGCAGGGTTAGGGTTGGGGTAGTGCGAAGTAACTTTGGGAGTCGACAACAACTCATATCGTCTATCATGTATGTCAAGTCTACAGATGTAGCTCGTTGGAAGCAACTGTCGAGCTGTCTGTCACTACATGGTGTTGATCGTGCGAAGCGTTGTTAAAGCCATTACTCTCATACATGGCTCTCTCGAGCGAGGTTTTGTCACGGATCGGTACATTCTGACGCTGTGAGGGAGAGTACTTGATCTTGTCACATCATCCTCGCCGATTAGTTGTCAAGGAACAGGAGATGAGAGTTTTCCAGGTGATGCACAGTCCAAGTAGCTCATAGCGAACAGATGGATATAACAGAGTCCTAAAAGAGACGAGTTGGAGGGAGGGGAGCCGGCGACTCATGTCGCAGAGAACTAGATGTTTCAAAGCATATTGTTGACGTCTGTGTCAACTTTCTCTTCTTCATTCAGGAGATGAGCAGAATGTGCTGGGAATGCGTAGGTAAAGCGTTCAACTCTTCTCCTTGCAAATTGTACATTCATAAGCGGTAATTTTGAGCTTACTTTACTCTAGCCTCCTCCGCTCGTGATGGTAGCAGAAGTGGTGATTCTGTTCGCCGCAAGTCGTTTCCCAGACTCTTGGTGTGTGTGTGTGTGGTATGTATGCATACAATCTCCTTCCAAACGCCACGTGCTATGCCTTTCTCTCCGATGTCATCGCAACTTTCCTTCCCCACTCATATCGTACATTCCGCATCGTTGACTGTCTATTGTGCAAGAGGAGAGAAGAGACTGTACATCAAATATCCAGTYAGCGTGCCGTTTTCTCGTGCTGTCCTGGGTGTTTCTTTGAATAGACTGACCGGATCAGAGATGGACGTGGGTTGCTCTTCGTGTAGCCCAGGTAGATGATCAAGGGGAGGTATCCACTGTAGGAGAAGAAGACAGGTTAGATGTATATCGAGGATGCATGGGCGATTCGTGGTGGTCGTACTAATGGATCGCGACACGGGAGAGGTCGATGACACGCGCGATGCGCTCCTGTTCGTGGATCAGTCGCCGCATCAACTTGGGATGATGTCTAGGAAAGGCCAACCTTGCTCTCTTCTGACAATTGCATCCAGGCCATGATGTGTGATGTGGTGAGGGAATTGTACTTGAAAGGTGGTGGAATGGTCTGGCGCATCAACTTGCAGCTTCTCAAGAACTTTGGAGCGAATGCGCACAAGCGTCAAGCGCGGAAGTTCGACCGCAACGGATCTACCCGTCGGGGCCACTGAATATCGAAGTCGTCTCAAACACCCACCCACGCACCGGACTCACCCACCCCCCATCTTCCCACCGCCAACCACAACATCACCGCCAACATGTCCGTCGCACAGAACCCCCTCAGCTCCGACCTGATCTGGGCCGTGACCCGCAACAACAACTCCTTCCTCGTCAAGCGCCAGGGACTCAAGCCTTTCTCCCGCGACCCTCTCAACCTCACCAACAAGCACTCCCGCAAGTATGTCGGTTACGCCAACGCTCAGGTACGAATGCCCCCCCAAATCCAATCTCTCCCAATCAATCTTACAATCCTCTAACAAATGTTATTCTTTTCCCTCCAGGCCATCGGCATCCAACCCGACAGCAACACCATCGCCGTAACCACCAAGACCTCCAAGCAAAACCAGCCCGCCAAACTCTACCACACATCCTCCTACTCGGCCTCCACCCCATCCCGTAAACTCTACAAGAACATCGTCAACTCCACCGCCAAGAAGGGCTACCGCGCGGACCTGCGCTCCGAAGCCGTGTCTCGCGCTTCCGCCATTCGTGCCAGCCAGAGGGAGAACAAGAAGGACCGAAATGCCAAGCCAAGAGGTGCTAAGCACCGCAAGGCCCAGCAGGCTGAGTTCTTGAAGTTGACTGCGGAGAACTAAAGAGTGTTTGTGTGCACAAAGCAAGGACGGATGAGGAATTTTCAATGTGTGTGTGGAATTCTGAGATGAGGGCCTTCTCTTTCTGGGATGATATGCATGATGAGGGCATTTTGAGAAGGATTCACGGATGAAATTATTCGGCGTCATGAAGGCTGGAAAAACGGCCAAGTCGGATATCGTAGCCATTGCCTCTGAAAGAAAAATGCATGCGCATGAAATGACATGTTGTGGTTCACACTGCAGTTCTCAGAAGAAGATGTCAATGCTTTGAGATTGTGTGTGATTGTGCGAGATCTGGCTCCGGCCGTTCTGGATGATCTCCTCTCAATTGGTGGAGGGACATGTGCTCGGAATACCAGAAACAAAAGTCATCAGGTTCAGCTTCCATTTCGTTTTCTAACCTTTGACACTGCACCACACGTTCTGACGGTGAGCAACAAGCTATGTGCACTCGCAGAGAGCGAACCTGCCAGACAGCAGTTTCATGCCGACACACGATGCAGCATCCTCTGCTATCGACAACACACGCAATGCCACATCCACCCTAACATCCCACCCAACCCTCAAGTCCGATCTCTCTTCCCCCCAAAAGACCTGAACCGATCACCAAACCCCTCAAAATTCATGCTAGGTTTCTTCCCCAATCCCTCCATACTCATATCCGGCAAGAAACTCATCCGATTCTCCCTCTTCCTCCCTGGCGGCTGCAGCTCCTCCCCAGCACCGGGCGAACCGACGCGATCAATCAACTCCGCACCCTTCAACTTATCAACCTCTCCAAATCGCTCGTTACTCTTACTCGAGTCGAAGAACTCCTCTCCTTTACCCGTCGCGGCAAGTTCCATCAACGCGGTCGTCTGACGCAGTTTCTCAAGCGAGGAAATGAGACTTTCCGCTTCAGGTAGCGCTTTGACAAATTCTACCAAGTCTTCCACGTCCATTTTGTACGCTCCGACGGCTTGTGGAGAAATGCGAGTCACGCCTTCTTCGAGGGGGAGGGACATGAGTTGTTCGCCAATGTGTTGGAGAGCGGTGTAGTAGATTTGTTTCTTGATTCCTTCGGGGAGACCCAACAGGACGGAACTCATGATATTGCTCAGGTAGCGGGTGAGTTCTTGGATGTAAGGACTTGCGGTCTGGGGAACGTAGGTGCTGAGCCAGTCGTACTCTGCTGTCTCGATAAGGTCGTCGATTTTGGAATTGACGAGTTCGAAAATACGCTTCTCGGCAGTTTTCTTTGCGTCACGGAAGGCGGTGGTTGCCGCGAGCTTGATGGGTCCTGCTGCTGAGGAACTGCTTCGCGCTTCCACGAGAAGGGATTGCAGATCCTGACAGGCTTGTTCGAAGTGGTCGAGGTTGGTGAGGATTTGCACGATTTGACCTGGGTATTGAGATGCGAGACGCTCCACAAGTGTGCGGCAGACTTTGTCGACAAGGAGCTCATCCAGAGATTCCTTGAGCGTCTTGTCGATTGTAGTCGTGTGGCGGAAGTGGTCGTCGGAGAAAAGGTAGATTTGGTTGAGGAAGTTGCGGATGTCGATGCAAACAAGCGGGTACATTTGGCTGAACGGAAGGATGCATGGGTAGGTGATTTCGAGATCTGCGGGAGGCGTGTACCAGGAGACGGAGATGACTTTGTTGTATTCGTCGGCATCGTTGATGGGCATGGGCATGTAATCGTCGGTGCTGACGATCTGGAGAAAATTGTCAGTATTGATCGAGGACGGGTGTGGGAAGTGGACTCACCTCTTGAAAGTCATCGCTGAAGCGCGTCTTCAGCAATGAGCTGTACTTGTCGAACAGCGTCAGCAGTAGGGTGTCCAAGCTGCTAATAGGATAAGACCAGCTGTCCATGGTCTGGATGAACAAAGCTATTACACCCTTAATTTTAAGTAGCCTGTCATCGTTGTCCACGTTGTGCAATGCGCTGCTGATGAGCGCTACTGCAGACTGGCACATACTATCCCACAGCTCATCCACATCGCTCTGAGATCGGAAGTTCTCCGTCTTCTGCATTGTCGCCTTCTCCACAATCGCGAATCCAGCAATGCCTTCTAGCAAACTACTGAGACTGCTATTCTCATCGTCGAGCAAATTGATGGTCTGCGGAATGAGCAGATCTTTCTGTCTCCGGCGAGTGGCGGCATAATCCGCGCGGAACTTCTCAGTCTGCCCGAGAGCATCGTGGATGTGCAGGCATTCGAAGAGGGGCGAGAAATCAACCTGCACCTCATCGTTGTTGAGAACGTCGAACTCCTCCGACTCATCGGCTACCAGCTCCACGGGAGAATTCAACTTGAAAGATCCTAGATATTCGTCCTTTTCGCCGCGTTCCCGCTGCCGAGCTCTTCGCATTTCCGTATGGTAGAATGCGACTTCGCCTAGAAATTGGGACGTCTCGCGGATGCGGTAAAGCCAAGTATTGAGGTCTGCCATCACTGCATCTGCAATCAAGCGTTGCGTGGCTGGGACGGAGCGCTCAATCATCTCGGCAATCTTGTACCTCGTGACCTCCCGAAGATGCACATTCTGCAGCTCATCCAGAGCGCGAAGTGCAGCATAATGGTTCTTCTTGCCGAGTAAATCATGCACTTGATTCGCCAGGCGAAGAACTTCGAGACAATCCTTCAGCGCTTGAGTGGCGTCGTCGATGTTCTGTCGCACACCTCGCGAGTCCACAAGCGCTTTCTTGGTCTCGGCGAGCTTTTCCGTGGTGGCCTCGATGCTGCGGCTGAGCTCCATGATCTCGGCAGTCAAAGTCACGGTCTCTTCTCTGACGGATTGAAGCTGATTGACGCTGCTGATGAACTCCGTGTGATTCGAGTTGCAGATTCTCTCAATCTGGTGCTCCCGATCCGCAGAGACATGGTTGAGGGCCTGGATTAATGGTGTGACTTGGGTTTGGGTCTCGGCATTCTTGAGGAGTGGAATAAGTTGGTCCAGGTAGTCAGAGTCTGATGATGAGAGGATGATCTTGAGGGTGGAATGTTAGCTGCTGGAATGGTACAGGACTGTCGCGCATGAGACGTGCAGCTTCGAGGCATTTGTCAATATMGGACTCTTCCGCCCAGCCACCCGGCGGTCTGCTCAGGCTGCCCATCGAGGAGAAGTCATGATTTTGAGGCGAGTTGCATTCACGGTGGTGCTTGAGAGGGAGAGGGAAACATCACGTACCTGTTGGACTGCTCCCGTCAGGTCGTCGTACTGAGATCCCGCGATGACGCCAGGCATGATGGCGGTCTGTGCTTTGCTAGGGCCAGCGATTGGTATCTCCTTTACGTCCAAAACCACGTTCAAAAACAAACTAAACTGTAAATTTGGGATGGACGAGTCTCTATTATTGTGAACAGGTGATGTTGATGTATCTATCGAGGTTCCAGCCGATCGGCCATGTCGGGGATTGACTAGAGACTTGGCGGCGGAAGGAACCTTGTCTCCCCTCCTTTCCCTTCTCCCTCCCTGCCTACAACACCTATTGTCCTCATGCCTACGTACCGCTCTATCATGAAAAGAAGGCCAGCAACTCCCATGGAATTTGCTACGCGGTGCGCAGGCAAGATTGGGAGCATTGCCCTTTGCGACTTCCGAGTGTCCCTCTGATCCTGTGCTCACAGTTGCAGCAACCGCACGAGGAGTCAGGAGACTTACCTTATGATGTCGCTGCACGTCTTCGTGAGTTAGAGGGCACCGGATGCTGCCTTGTAGCGAGAGGATTCGTCGCATGTGTGGAATCTTGCCACCCGTAAGCTCCCAACTCGTAGCTAAGGCATCCATGAGCGCCGACAAGATCGTGCATGTCGTGCACGAGGCAGACTGGTCGAGGGGCTGCCTGATTGGGATGTTATGGCAAATGGCACAAGATGATGGGAGACGTAGGGCGTTTCGCGGAAAAAAAAAACGCCCATTGCTCTACCGCATGGTACACAGACATGTAGAGCATGAGCAGTATATTGCTGTACTGTCCGCCTCGCCCTGTCATCTATGATCGCGCGTAGTCTACTGCAGCGGTGCAGCGTCACTTTAGTCGCGGTAGCTTCACGGATTCGCTTTGGGCTTCAACCCCATAGGAACTTGTCGAAGCCACGGGCATCAACTGAGATTTTGGCTGGCCAGCGGGCAGAGGACCGCCAACGACTCGCTCGGATTCCCGTCATCAAGCTCTCCCGAGCTCTCAAAAGCCGACTCTCGCTGGCCGAATCCGCGCACTCACTCACGGCGAACAGAGCGGGAGGGCGAGGGCTAGCGTACAGTCTACTTGGACGTCAGGTCCACGGCGATCGTCAGGCCGCGAGGCAGCAGATGGCAGGGGTGCGTGGACCCTGAGAGGTCGCCGGCGTGGTCGCTGTTTTGGTCTGCCAGACCAGAACTCGACTCCTGCAACCATTCAGGGCTTGAGATTCTCGTAGATGGAAGAAACTAGCATGGCGAGATAGCTCCTAGTTTATGATAGTTGTATGCGTGCGTACTGTTCCGTAGTGAGCAATGGTAGACCTGGTGAAGGCGTGAAGTCAAGTCTTGCCAAGGCTTGATGCTCCGGCGGTAAGTCCGCGAGTCTCTTTCCACCACCACATGGTCCTCTCACCGGCAGCAGGCTTGTCACAGTGTGTTGCAAAGGAGATTCTTCATGTGACAGTTCTCATCGAGGTCGTCCACAGTGAGCTCACTGCCTGTGCGAGTCAAGGCCTTCGACCCCATATGGTCCCTGGCCCTATATGTGACCGAGTACCTTGTGAACACATCCTCGAGCTGGCGCGCAGCGACGACAACATGGATCACAGGCTTTCAGGAAAGCCAACAGCCAAAGCAGAGTGGGACGATAGCCTGTGCCAGGCCTGATCAGCATGCCAGGTCTAGTAGGCCATCCTCTCGACCTCCGCACACCTCCGCTCCTCGCATAGAGCATACCCGAGGCACCGCGCATACACGAGACACCGCGCATACTCGTGGCAGCAACGACGACGACCTCGACCCCGATACCGACCGCAGCTTCACTAATCGGAGCTGGCAGGCGCAAAGGATGTGCTGTTTAGGAGAAGCTACATCTTGGCAAGCACAGCCCATGGGCACGCCTATGCAGGAAAGGACACCCAAAGATCTTCTGGCTCTGCGCAAATCGTAGCGTTATGCTGGTCTTAAGGAGATGGCACACCACATGAAGAGCGCATGGATGCGATCTGCTCGTGCGACATTCGACGTGCAGGGAACAGCGCGGAGGGCAGGGAAGCACAGCCGCGAGCTCAGAGGAAAAGTCCACGGTAGAATCAGCAGACAGTGAGCGGCAATGACTGCCCCCCCCCCGACGCTGGCGTACTGTATCCTCAGCCAGTACGGACATGGCAAGGTCCAGTAGACTTCAAAAGATGGCGATCGGCTGGCAACTATCCAAGGGACCAAGCTGTCAATCTATTACAATGGGTCTTCGCAGGATCGATCAAGCGGATGCGCCAGCTGGTATTCCAAATACAGCTGAGAGACAGGAGCGGTGCTCAAATCCAGCATTTCTCGGAAGCCTTTTCGTGAATCAAATATTGATGACAGATTCTTGTCAAAATTTGATAGCCTCCTTTTTTCTGGCTCATATCCTTGAGAGTTTCGGACTTCGCCTTTCACGCCGAGGACATTGCCAATGCCACGTTGCACTGCTGAATTTTCGCTTTGCAAGTAGCTGCAATTGCCTGACGCAACTTCATCCGCGATCTTGGACAATGCCGTTGGTCTCAAGATTCTTGCTGGAAGTTGGGCACCCTAAGAAGATTGATTGGCATATTGGCGCGGCACTCCGCCTGTGAACTTGACCAGTAGAGCTCAAAGATAAGACTGTGCAAATGCAAGCTTTATCAGCGGTTTCGGAGGCCTGGGGAGTTAGTCAACCACGGAATTGTTGTCTGTTGCATCGGAGTCCAGTCAAAATCTACCCGCATGGTTCGTCGCTCTCTCGTGTTACTAGGTCGGCCGATGCCACAAGCAGGAGAAGTCATGGACGAGCCCACAAGCGAGTGTCTCTCTGCACGTGGACAAAAGATGAATCCAACGACTGGCTTTCTGGAGGCCGTTTGGTTTGGGCCTCGATAAATGGTGCATCGCAATGTCACGGACACAAGAGCTGGTATCCGCACTTCTTATGGGACCCCATCAAGCCTGCGAGCTCCAGTGTTTGTTGGAAAGGAACCTGCCCCTTATTTTCCAATGTCGACTTCCAGAGGATCGGGAATAGTCTTCGCACTTCTTGCTATACGTGGCAAACCCGTGCAAGATGGTTGTCGATCATCAACCGCCTCTGCAATATCGACACTCTGGAGTTTTGGCCAACAACGGGCAGCATCTTGCTTGATAAAACCGGAATACGCTCGAGTTCTGGCACTGGAGGACTGGAGGCATTCTCAGTCCGAACCAGATTCACTGAAGATGCCGCGGAGGGCGTCATAATCTTGTGAGTCCACCGTGAGATGGTGGCACTCTGTGCCGCAATACTAGCAACTTGGATGGACCATGCATCAAGCCCGTTCCCGACCCCCGGCCCAGCTGAGATATTGACAAGGAAATCAGCCATTCACCTGCTGAAATTCCGTTCCGCAACTCGTACCGGAACCTCTTCGGTCGTTCAAGAACAGTGCATCCGCAACTGGTCTTGGAACATTGGGTCTCCGTATTGGATGCGGTACTTGCGATCTCCAAAGGCTTGCTGTATTTTCCTCAGATTTGCTCTATCGCGTAAGAGCATGCCGGCGTGCTGTTCTTACGGATAGTGTCGAGTTGCGTGGACCTGCTGTCATTTTTCCAGTGTCTTCTCCTCCGCTGATGCGAACCTGGTCGCTTGACCTACCGTCAACATCGGTCTTCGAAGTCTGTGTCTGCCTTCACCTGTGGAAACGTCCTCGAGGTTGAGATCGCCTGACTCTGCGGCGATGTATGAATACCGAACCCCAAGCTTACTGCATTCCAGAAGCGAGCTTGAATGTGGATATCCGCGTACTCGTGGGCCGGTCTCCAATCCTGTTCAGACTGGCAGCCTGCAGAATCTCTGCAGCGTCCCTCGTTAGGGAAGCGTTGCAAACCGTTCTCAAAGCATAGGCCCCGGTCGTGGTCTGTGTCATCTACCTCGGCCACTCAGGGGACTCAATGAAWGAGTATCGCTGGCACCCTCTTGCTGTTGCCCGCGGCTTCATGTATCCGCCGTCCTCGTGCTCTGCGGCAACAGTGTTCTGGCAGTGCTCTTCAGAAATCGGTGTCATCTTCGAGGCGGCTTCCCATCAGGGCGATGGTATGGCAGATTGCCACATCCTGGCGGAGGCACGCAGTGCAGCATACACTGCAGCATGTCCTGGAATCCGCCGAATACTGTTCGCCGAGCGCTTCATCTCCAGTGGCGACCAGCAGTGCAAAGAGCTGCGCTTTGCCTGTACCTCTACATGTGTCCCTGCTCGTCATCTGCCGCATCGGTCGTTACAGTCCGTCCAAGTTCTCTCAATCACCAATGCTCTTGCTCTTCGGGTAGTGGCGACGCTTCTGAGCTCAACTGGGATCATGCGTGCAAATTGAGCCGGTGGATCGCAACCGCATGCATTGAAGAGCCGCCTCGCGTAGATGCTCGCGTTGCATCTGCAAGACGTTGCCGGCGAAGGAGCCGTACGAGGCGCTTCCATATGGTCAAACTGTCTGCTTGGGCGTTCCCAATAAAGCATGTAGGCTTGTTGCCACCCCTATCACCATCAAGTACTCGCTGGTATCTTGCGGGTGTGTAGCTTCGCCGGCGCCATGTCGTGGCGACGGATGAAGCGCCTCTGGGTGTCCATACTTACCGTCCATGTTGCGCACCGACAGCCACGTCGGATTGTCCGCCGCCACGCAGACATGCACGGCTCTCTCTCATGCTCTGGTACTCGCTGTCATCGTCGTTATCGTCGTCGCTCTTTCGGGTGTGCGGTGGTGCGTCTGTTGGGATGTCGACGTTGCCAGGTGTACTGGTGGCCAGCTCGTCGGCGGATGGACTTGGCTTCATGAAAGCCGCAAGGCATTGTCGACCTTGAGAAGAGCGCTGTGCCTTGGATCACAGTCCTTGCCATCCTACCTACGAGGGAGCATGATGCATTCGCGGGCATAGGCCTCTCATCCTCACCGGGATTTGCTACATGGCTTCTGTCTGCTGCTCGCTATACAGCACAAAGCGTGTTTGTCAAGCCTCATCACTGTCGATGGAAGGCTGCTTCGCGTAGCTCTCGTTCCTCCGGTGCTTTGTCTTGCATTACCCCTGAGCTCTTCCCACATGCCTGGTCGACGAGGTGTAATAGACTTAAGAGACACTCGCATCTCGTAGTCTCAATGTCTTCGAGCTCGGTGTATGAAGCTCACCATCATCCTCGCTCAAGACTGCGGCCGGAAGCTGGACCCCCGGATGGACTTTACGCGACCGAACAGCCCAACACCTGGCCAACTATAGACAACTCATCAACCAACGCTCGCATCAACTAGCAAAGTGGATGCGATTGATGCTTGAGGTCGTCTCTCAAACCTCCAACTTTGTCTATGTCTATACGACCGTTGTGGATAGAGATCTAGAAGTGTGGTGGAAATAGCGATCCTCCAAGTACCGGGCGTCAGCCCATGGAGGGATGGGTATATATTTGCTGCGGAATTTGAGTTCTCCGCCCTTATGGCATAGTTAGATTAGCTAGATTTCTTGCGTCGTCATCGTGTTCATTGAGTGCCTGGGTTCAAGCCGTGCTAACTTATTCACAGGAATCGGCAATGACCGGAAATGAAACTCCTCGGAGTGGCAACCCCCCCATGGGGGGATAGTTTTGCTTGGGCAATGCTCATTTATTTTATTTTATTTCCTTTTGCAACCAGAGCCGCGAGGGCAATGCCTCCAGCACGCCTGCGTCCTTTTGCAATGCCTCCAGCACGCCTGCTTCCTTTTGCAGCGTGTCGACGACATACAACCGTTTTGCAACATGTGATTCTGCGGTTGACAAAGGAACCGCGTCTGCCAACTTCCAATAGCATTGCCATTGGCGATTTGTATTGGTTTGATCTACAGTGCTCCATGTTGCATCTCCTTTGCTCTGRGCCTCGCGTCCACGTTTGCCCATTATGCTGTGGCTTGGGATTATTGCAATGCCCCAGTATGGCAATAGGTGGCCTAATCGCTACAGCAGCCCCAATGCATTGATCTGCTTGATGATGCACCATACCTGGTGCGGCGGCTCACTCTGAACTCGCTCAAGGCAAGTCGATTCTGAAATGCTCTTCAATTACTCTTGCAATTTCTATTTCTCCCATTTTACGAATGATTATACAGATGCAACCATGAAACACTTCGACAAGTCAGTCCTTTCATTTTGCAAAGGCAGAAGAAACACCAGCAGTTCATTCAATTGTGCAGTAGTATTCCAAGCAAGGCAGAGAACTCCAAAGGTTGCCAGAGTCTTGCCTACGGGCTGCTCGTCTCTGAACCTGGATCTCAGCCCAGGTCAAGAGAATCTTCCACCACCACGCTCCGTATCTACCAGCGCAGCAACAGTGCTAGCTATACGATCTCGGAAAGTCGCATGGTCATACCCTCAATTGAAAAGGGGTAATTGCCTGTTCAGAATATTATCAAGAAGTGTTGTGGTGTTGTCCATCTTTTTGCCACTTTCATCAGCTTCGATGCGATGGTCGCGTCAATCCACAGCACTGTGACGTACATCAAAAGCTGCTGCCGCCAGAATTCAGCCAGCAGCCAGGCGTTACCTGCCGTAGTCAGGCCGCACGAACGAAACCCCGAGCAACTTGCAAGATCGCAATCAGGACAATACAACGGCACGGTGTTCTACGGCTGTGTGGTTCAAGCGTATGGTCGCCCCAAGGGCCACGCTCACAGTCTTGACCGTACAGGAGCTGGCCAGATGGACAGCTACCCCTGCCAGACTACCTAATAGCTTCCGCACGCCCATCAGTATCAGCCATTGTGTTTGCTGCTTTGATTGTGGCACTTGGAACAACTGTTCGGGGCTGACGACCCAGACGTGGTCTTCAGAGCGCAGAAGCTATCTTCGTGGGTCTCTACTGTCAAGCGGCACCACACATCCATCTCTCCGCACTTCTAGCTCGCTATCGTCACGTTCATGTAGGTTCTCTCCCTATTCGACGGTGGAGTACAGTGCCGCATGGTATGGCTACAAGTAAGTCGCGTCGAAACTCTTCTCTTTGCCTGTGGGTCGCAGAGCGCTTCAAGCGGTGGTAAGGAGAACGATTTTGTGTCGCTTCCGGCGCGTCTCCATTCCATTCTTCCACCTCTACTCCATTGTCCTCCCTCTCGCGCCGTTCACCATCGCCGACGGTAGACCACAAACATCACGATACCAGCAGACGCGTCGCGTCGACCTTCCGACACCGCCTATATGCATTTCCACATGGTCAGTTCCCGCAAGTTCGGCGTGAGCATGGTCTTCGGCCTTGCAGCCGCCGCTGCCGCCACTTACGCTCTACTCAGCATCCACAGGAGCATGCAGCACATCAGCGTGACCGCCTCTTCGAACGAGGAGGAAGCAGCGAACGAGGCGAACGAGCTGCGATCATGGGATATTGAGATGGGATACCTGGGCGACGACGAGAAGGAGGATAATGGGACGGAGGAGGAGCGAAGGGGTACGTGAATCACTTGTGGAGCTGTACAGACACCATACGGCGCGTACAAAGCTACATCCACGGCCTGCCGAGCAGCATCGACGAGACTTTTTGTACGGCTCATTCGCACACTTCCAAAAGGAGGGATAACGAGATGGAGGAGGACTGAAGGGGTACGTGAAACCCTTGGGGAGCTGTGCATACGCCATACGACGCGTACGAAGCTACTTCTACCGCCTGTGAAGCAGCATTGATTACACTTCTTGTACGGCTCATATGCACACTTCGAAAAGGAGGGATACCGGGATGGAGGACTGAGGGGGTAGGTGAATCGCTTGTGGAGCTGTACATACACCATACGGCGCGTACAAAGCTACATCTACCGTCTGCCGAGCAGCATTGACAACGCTCCTGCACGCTCCATCCGCACTCCTTACTGCGGCCATGGTCGACATCTACCGCGAACTGGAGGTTTCCCCTGCTCAGCTCCAAGCCAGCGGCGCAGAATGACTGAGGACAGTCGGTCTTGATACCCGGCAGCGCCAACAGACTGAGGCAGTATCGCACTGTCAGTGGGCACCCTCTGCCTAGAGACCTTGAGCAAAATTCGCGGACTTCAAGAATCGGTGACGACGACGATGATGCGGAAAAGCGGTGGAAGCAAGATAACCATCTCAATACTGGGCATTACAACGCGATACAATAGCTCCCTCTTCAACTGAAAGAAAGGCAGGCAACGGTAAAGCTAGATTTGTCAAAGAAACGCACCGCTACAACAATTCACAACACCCTCAACAACCAAGTCTCCATCTCGCCCAATACCCCCACAAAATCCTCTGCCCTCCCCTCCTCCACACTCGCAATCGTAAACCCACACCTCCTCAAACAACCTACACTCGCACCATTCCGCGGATCAACTTTAGCAAACAACTGCTGACCAGGATAGCATTCCAGATACCTTTTACAAAACCCTCTACAAGCTTCCTGCGCATACCCCTTTCCCCAAAATTCCGGTAATAACGAGTATCCAATCTCTCGAGGTCTGAAAGTTCCCACCAATCCAATGAGATTAGGGGATGGGGAAATTGTTATGGCTAGGACGATGAGTGGGTGGGAAGGGGGGGATATATTGAGGGAGATTAGGAGATCGTCGAGTCTTGCGGAGGATTTTTCGAGGTTGGGGCTTGGATCTTGCGAGCTGGATGGACTTTGTGAGTTGAGGATGTTGGGGTTGTGGTATTTTTGGAGAGGCTTACGTCCATTTTGATACTTCTGGGTTGGATTGGAGGGCGTGGAAGGCGATGAGATCTTCTTCGTTGATGGGGCGAAGATGGAGACGGTTTGTCTTGATGAACATTGCGGCCTACTGTTATGTGATGAACGATAATCGCGAAGTGTCTATGTGATACCGAGCTATCTATCGCGACTATGAAGGACCTATATCCTTCCTAGGCTAGTTTGCTTTTAGCAAACTAACAACAAGTAAATAGACAAACAGGCTAATTATAGAACTAACTAGTAGGGCTAAGAAGACACGCGCTATATCCTCGAATATACCCCTATAGGGCTCGTAGCTCTATTTATAGTTAGTCCTTATAGTCTACTAAGCTAAGTTACTTAATAAACTAAGCGAACTTAATCCTATCTAATACCTTAGTTAGGCTATTAGTAGCTTAGAGGTTAGTTAAGATCTACTCGATCCTTACGATTCCTTAGGCGATAGCCTAGCGGATCTAATGCTAACGCTACTCGATATGCTTTAAACGACCGTCTATAGTTAGCTTCTAACTTAAGGAAATTATAGGCTAGTTATCCTTAAAGATAGTTACCGGTAGGACCGATTTCTCGTATTATTAGGAATTACTAAGGCTTCGACTATAGCTAGACGTAAAGTTAGACGACTACTAAGCGTACTAGCGAGCGCCGCGTACGTAACGTATAGTCGTACCTTAAGAGGCGCGTAGGCGCCTCGCTATTAATAAGTAAGAATTAGTTTTATTACTAGTTAGACGACTAGTTAGCGTTCTATATACTACGACATCTTTTATATATCTTATACGTATATACTAAGCTTAATTAGCATCTAACGGATCTAAGTAGCCTCCTACGTAGCTAAAGTTAGTATAACGTACTCTACCTCCGTAGAAGAGAGAGTTATAATAGTCTAGCGACCTAACTTCTAAGAAATAAGACCTTTATAAAGCTTAAAAGCGTAGCCGGCCGTAGATCGGCGGGTATTACGGTTATCTATAAAGGCTAAGTCGGCGTATCTATAAAGGCGAGTAGATATAAGGGTAAAGATGTAGCAATGTATTAGACACCCGTAATTACTCGATTAGAGATAAGACTAATTCTTGTAGGTTAAATGTGCGCTATGCGTAGGAGTTATGTATACGCTAAGCCTGCGCTAAGCAGTTAGGTTATATTGCACTCCCTTCTCTAAGGTTAGTTAATATAGCTACCTCTATTAATCCTGTTATTATAAGRGCTCTTAYACGGCCCTTATAATTACCTCCTTCCCCCTATACGAACTAGCCTTAGTTCGGGGGCTTAGGAATAGAGGCGCGCGCGCGTCGTATACGTCGCGCTCGGGGTCCGTAGRCTCTATATAGTAAAGTGCCTATTTTCTAAGCAACCTTCGGGCTATTTATATAAAAGCCGGCTAGTTAAACTAGCTATATAGGAAGTAGCCGCTTTCGGAACTTTATCCTCCTTCTAGTAGGCTAAATACCGTACCTAGAAGGGCGAGGGTTTAATTCCCTTAACGACCGCTGCTCGATAAGAGGGTTAATAAGTCCCCTACTACGCGGCGTATACGTTACCGCTACTATCCGTAAGGGTCTTATATCTATAGATCTCTAAGTAGGTTATTTACTAAGTAACCTACCCTAGTAACTACCCCTTATTAATATTCTTTCTATCTTGTAGATTTCTCTTCTATACATCTACTCTTTATTATGCCGCTACGTACTCCCCGTAAGCGTCGCGTACCCGACCCGCCGGCGACCCCCGCTTAAGCGTCGGCGAGTAAGCGCCGCGCTATYRAGGTGCCTACGGCCTATCGCCGCTATACGCGGTTAGTATACCTTCGTATTAGCTATCGCTATAACGCTGTCTTTAGCGCGTTTAAGCGTAAGTACGACTACTATAAGTAAGTAACGCTTATTTAAGACGCCTACTCCCCTCTTACGTAGCGCTAACTTCCCTTAAAGGAACAATTATTATAAGTATAAACCCGTACCGGTAGCGATGCGCCTATACTACGATAGCGTTATAGCTACGGTCTAAGAGCTTAATCTAGTAGATACTACTATATAGAAGGGCAGTTAGGAGGAAGCTAATTATAAGGCGGCGGTAAACACCTTTAGTATTAAGTTAGATACTTAGATCCGTATTAACGAGCCTACCTCGGGTATACGGCGTAAGAGTAGCGTAGTCGAGGCGCCTAATCTTACTCGCTTAACGAATAATCTTATAGCTATTACTTAAGTCGGTCGTATCGTAAGTGTCTCGCCTACTTCTCGTATGCGTCTATAATACTAACTATCTATATAGTAGTTAGAGATAATAGGGCAGTCTACTAATACCTTCGATACTACCCTTATTAGAAACGAGCTATTCGAGGAGGAGTCCGAGGTAAAGGAGAATAAGTTCGAGTAGAGTACTTAGCGCGTTCTCTAGGCTTGCGCAGCGTATACGCCTATCTTATAGTATAGTCTATAAAGTAATCCCCTTTAGGTCTAACCGTAATAAAACTACTTAATTCTTATTACTCTTCTTCTATTTTACTCCGCTCTGCTTCCGAGCCTCTTTTACTACGCGGCCTCTACGTATACGCGGAGCCTACGCCTCGAACCTATCGAGAGCTTCGTAGTCTTTAAYATATATACTAGGTTCCTACTAGTTATATTCTAATAGCTATCTACGCTACTTTACTAAATAAAACGTTTCGCCCTTCTATACCCTCTTATTAAGAATCTCTTTAACCTCCTACTACCTATCCTCGTCGACTACGAGTAGTATGCGCTCCTCTTACGCTTTACTCTTCCGGCTAGAATATAGCTCTAATAGAGTAACGTAGAAGACGTTATAGATCCTTACTAAGATAGGTAACTACAAGCGATACGCCTAAGTCCCGATTACGTTAATTACGCGGTATAGGCCTAGCTATTTAGGTCCTATCTTCTTCTTGCCCTCTAGCTTAAGATTCTTTATAGAGCGAAGTACTAGATTACTAATATTAAAGCTTATAGGCTTATAGTTCTTATTATAGTACTGTAACTATTACTCTTTAGCTTTACGCTATCGCTTAGTAAGCTCCTTATGWACGCTACGTATACGCTTCGCTAAGTCGATAGCGGCCGGTATTCTCCCTTCTAAGAGCTCGTCCTAAGCGATGTCTTAGGCATTAGCGCCGTCGCCTAGAGGGCGCGTTACTAGCTCTAGGTTCTATCTATAGAGGATTTAGAAAGGGCTTATTTTAAGGCCCGCGTATACGCTATTATTACACGCAAATTTAGCTATAGGTAGCTATTACGCCTAGCTGTCCTACTACGTGCCGTAGTAGTAGCGTAGGTATTACTTAAGCGTCTAATTAGCTTTCTTAGTCTGTCTATCCGTCTAAGAGTAGAAGGCTATACTTAGCTTACGCTTTATATACGCTTCGTAGTAGAAGTTAGACTAGTATTAGCTAGTAAAAACCGAGCCTCTATTACTAATAATGYCTACTAGTACGCCGTATTTATAAACTACGTAAGATATAAAGATATCCGCTAGCTCTACTATATTACATTACTTAGTAGTAGGGATAAATAAAGCTATCTTRCTATAGCGGTCGACGATTACGAGTACCGTARTATAGACGCTATCTCCGCGCTTACTAGGAGGTAGGTCCGTAATAAAGTCTATACTAATTTCTTRCTATACTCGATCCGGTATAGGTAATAGAACTATTACTCCGTAGGGGCGGTAGTACCGCGCCTTACTTACGAGGCATATATAGCACC